TCCCTGAGCAAGGGGAGAATACAGAGTGTTCTTCAAATGCTGGGTATTTTGCTTTTTTAATCTGGAATATTTTAAATTGGTAGAGGTTTGGCTTCTGTAATGTTTAAGCATTTCAAAACATTCAGAATCCATTCAGAAGACCACTCAGAAGCATGAGCTTCACATGCTTATGCACATCTCTCAGCACTGGTTCTGTGTTACATGGTGGCTTTTTATTGCAGGTTCTTCCCTGGACAAAATAACCGCCAGCCTTTCTGATCTTAAAACAAGACTTGACTCAAGAAAATGCATTGCACCTGATGTCTTTGCTGAAAACATGAAGATTAGACAGGAAACACATCATTTGGGTAAAAAGCACTTAAATATAAATCATCCCTCAGTGTACAGCAAAATCCTTAGGGTTTAATTCATATGAAGGACACATCCAGCTCCCTCTACTTTTCTATAGCTTGTGAATTGCATTTCTGTAGCTTGCGTTTATTGGCCCAGTGTCTTTGAAATGAAAATGCAGACTCAGTTCTGCTGCCTACTGCTTCCAAACTTCACTTACAAAGCAGAACTGACCAACGTTGTTGTCTTTCTTGCAGCCAACTATATTCCGCAGTGCTCGGCAGACGATCTCTTTGAGGGAACGTGGTACCTCGTGCGTGTGGATGAAAAGCACAGGAGAACGTATGCGAGGCGCCCGCTGCTGGGTGACGGGCCGCTGGAGGCGGGAGTCGGAGTCGTCCACCCCGGCGTGGTCCATGAGGTGAACACTCTGCACGCTTTTAAAGAGGGAGTGAAGTAGTGGAGCAGGCTCTGTGCATGTGTCGGCATGTGGGTGCATGTCAAAAGAGGAAAGGGTCTGGCAAGGTTCGAGGACTTTTTAAAACGCTGTATTCAGTATTTTACCTCTGGCTTGTACATTGCGTATTTTAACCAAGTACATTTCATTATAACCAAAACGAAGCTGCACAAGTAAATGGCTCCTTTCACGTAATGAGTTTTGCATGAAACGCGGCTGACTGGAATGGCTGCAGACCAGGTGCCAATGGTGCATGGATGGTGTCTGAGCGGTGGAGTAGCCAGGAAGTAAGAATGTATGGGAACTAGAAAACTTGATTTAATGATTTTTTCCCTTCTTCTTAGCACATCCCAAGCCCTGCTAAGAAAGTGCCAAGAATCCCTGCAACAACAGAATCGGAAGGCGTTACTGTTGCCATTTCCAATGGGGAGCATTAAGATACCTCTGTGAGGTGGGGAAATGGAAGAAGTGTGAGGGTAGCATGAGAGAGAGAAAACGGATTAAAATAGTGTGATGTTTCACTGTACAGTAAAACTTAATTGGAGCATGGGAAAACTGTCTAAACCCCTTTGACAAGATTCATTTTAATATGTTGTGATAATTATAGTGTTGTCAGAACACTAAGATCATTAATATACTGGAGATGGAGGGACTTGCCAGGGTCTTTGTAGATTCCTAAACAAACATTGTTAATTTGCTGAGCTGTAGCTGTGTTCTGTTACAAGACTTTTGTATGTAGAAAATCTTCTGCCTGCCTTTTCACGTAAAATGACTTGAAACTTCAACTGTTAACAACTTGTATTCAAAAGTGTAAGACAAAACAGTGTAAGCTTTTAATGTTGGGTTTCTCAGTGCCTTGACAATGAGTAGTCCCTCTTCTGCATACAGCATTTCACTTCCCTCTTCCCTTTCTTCTCCTGTTCCAGCTGCCTCATTCTTTGGAAAAGGTCTGGAATGCATGCGGTAGCGCTGATTAATGGAATAGATTCTCTCTCCCCTGTCAAAACAACGGATTAAGAACAGCTAGACTAACAAGTTTATTGTGGGGTTTTTGTTTTATTTTAGGAGCTCTGTAAACTGACTGTGTTAGTTGCTGTTAATTCCTCCTCATACCGTGTGCTTTATACCTTCAGTATAAATCACAGCACTATGGAAGAGGAATGACGTGAGATGCAGTTTTTTATTTGTTGTTTTTTTTTTTTTTTTTTTTTCCTCCTTCCAGAGAACCAAACAGTGTATTTTTTTGAGGTTCATCAGTTTGGCACCTTTTGAGATTATTTAATTGTAACTGAAGATTAAGTATTTAAGACATAAATTCTCAAATAAAACTCTCAGATCTTCTGGAGCTGTTTTAAATGTCAGACTAAGGAAGGGAGGAAGATCGGGTTGTCTGGAACCTTGGCCTCTCATTAGTCTTAATATATATGTTTTTCAGAGACTATTTCTAACTCTGAATCTGGCTTCATACGTTGAAGTTTTAGTAGTGTTGTAGTATATGTGTGTGGTTTTTTTTTTTTTTTTTTTTTTCCCCCTAACTAAAAGCTAGCCATTTGCAAGTGGTACCTGTACACCACTAATAATAGTGAGTCCAGCCTGGGTATATTAAAGTCCAGATTGGAAATGAACTATGCCATGAGCCTTGTAAGCTTGTAATATATTTTTGAGTTCATATACAGAACAAAGTCTTTTTGAGTTTTATTCCTTTGTCTAATTCTACAGAGCTGCATTACTTACTTAATATAAAGTGGCAGAAGAAATGGCTTTGTCTGTTAAATTACATTTTTTTGGTGTAATGAAGTGTTTGTATGATCAGTCACTCACTAGGCTTTGATAACTTTTGCCGGATTTATACAGTCAAGCTTTGGTAAAATAGTTGTTTATTATGACTTGCTGGGTACTAGCGTGTCTGTTCCATTGAAAATGATGAACAACAATGCATGAAGATAGCGGTGCGAGGACTGGGGTTTAGGTGCCCTTGGCACCACAACAAACACTTGCCCTGGAACACAGTCCATTGCTGGCAGTGGACAAGCCAAGGATTGAGCTACTGGCACAAAAAATTAACCACAGGCCCCCTCACAGTTTGTGAGGCTGATCCTTTAATAAAATAAAATTTGAGATATTTGAAACCTGTTGGAGTAGTGCTGGCTTGTTGGGATTTCAGGATGCTTTTTGTTTGTCCTTTTAACAGGAAAGAGGGGAAACTGGCCCTGTGTAAACTCAGAACGTTGAGTTTTCCAGCTGTGTGGCTCTTGATCTTACTTTTTAATCCTTTCTCATGACACAGGTGGAAAGGTCTGCTCATGCTTTTGGGAGACTGGTACTTCAAGGCTCTGTCTTAAGTGCTTTTGGATAGAAACTGTTCATAGAGGGGAAGAATTAATTCCTAGCTTATGAAATAGAATCACCTGTGCTACCATCTTGTAAGGACGGTAATTTTTATCCCCTTTCACAGTGGTGGAAGTGATTTGTTTCTTGCTTTCTGTCTACCTGAGCCTGAGTGTGCCAGTTGTCTCCTGGTGGTTTCTCAGAGTTGTTCTGTTGCTCACCTGCTACCTCCTCAGCTCTGGTACCATATGTGGCAAACCTGCTTTAATGTGAAAGAACATCCCTAAGCCTTGGGTAAGTTTGCTTGCCTCAACAAAAGCCCTATAGGTTGTACCTCTCACTTAGGCCTTTCAACACCGGGGCCCAGCCAGAGGACAGTTACTGCCTCTAAACACCCTCTGCAGCTCAGCCAAGGCTGCTGCACATTAAAGTAAGGCCATACCTTAGCAAAGCTCAAGGGAGGAATATATCTACAGGTTCATGAAGTTCAGAACAACCGGAAACACTGTCAGGTTCTCCAGCCTTTAACTTGTGTCAGTTAACTCTGTGCCAGCCCTTGGTACCGGTCATGCTAGAAGTTACTAGCAAAGTCTAATACTTAATTTATAAGCAGATGTATTCATTTATTAGCAGTTGCATTCAACTTACTGATAGCTAGTGCTAAAGCAAGAACATAATATTAGATGAATTTTTACTACCCCCTTGCTGCTTTATTGGAAGGGCAGTTGGAGTCAAAACAGGTCTTGGACTTGCCAACATGTTACAAATAACTGAAACAGAGTGAGCAGGTGGTAACTCCACTGGTTATACAGCACAGGAGCAGGGTTAAAGGAGCATGTCTAAATTTGACTGGGCAGCCTCACTGAATGTCCTAACAAAGCAGGACACATCATGCAGCTGGTTTCAGTGTTTGACAGACAGCTTTGTAGTTTCTTAAAATAAAAGTTTTTAAAAAAGAAGCTCTTATCTACCACTGAAATGAGGTTGGAGAAGTTTAAGGAAAAAAAAAATGCAGTTTTTTCAAGTGTGATCTGGTTTCTGTTTAAACATAATTCACTGCAAAAGCTGTCCTGGTTTGTGCTCAAGTTGGGTCAAGCTAAGGCAGAATTTCCCCAAAGTTACCACTGTAGTCCTGAACTGAGCTACTGCTTGAGAGCATTAAGTTAAGTAAGTACTGCTCACTTTTTATTAAAAGCTCACCAGCTCCACTAGTGACTTCTTACCTGGTTTACTACATGAGTACTTACTGCACCGTCTGCCCCAGGTCTCTGGAGTGAGGGCCAAACAAAAGTCCAGTAGAGTCCTGCATTTGAGCTGTTTGTGTGAATGGAAAAATGCAGATGCGATAAGGCAGTTTTGGTTTATTTAAAAATTACAAAAATATAACACCAACGCATGTGAAAAATGAAGAAAATCCTTTTTAAGTGTACCAAGGGTGAAGCCTTCAGTGTAATTTATAAAATAGAGCACAGCTTGGATGTGTGTTTTAGCCCTGTGTAAGAGTTGTTGTCTTTCTGAATGTCCTGCTCCTGGGGGTCAGGGCTGGACATGATCGGAACACATTCCAGCGCCCTCTTCCTCTGCACACGGTGCAGAACGATCCTGTAGATGCCCGTTATGGAGCTGCGTGCGTCCTTGCCCCGGTTGTTCTGAATGTGTTCGTCTGTGACCCCCAGATCTTGCAGAATACTTTTCACTTCATTTTCTTCATCTTTGAGGGTGCTGATCTCCGATAAATACTTTGGATCCAGTGGGAACGGTTCTAAGGGCTGGGGGTACCATATCCCTTGCATCCACTCGCTGCTCATAATGAGCTTGACGGAGTAGCGCTCGCTTGGCACGGGCTGGAGCACTCCTCTTATCAGCTTCTGGCAGGCTGCCGAGAGGCACGGGGGCACACTGTACGTCCCGTCGAGAATGCACTTCTTCAGTTTGGCCACTGTATCCGCCCGAAATGGCATGACACCCGTCGTCATGAAGTACAGCAGGATGCCCAGGGCCCAGATGTCCACGTAGACGCCAACATAGCTCTCATCGCGGAAGAGCTCGGGGGCGGCGTAAGGCGGGGAGCCACAGAAGGTGTTTAACGTTTCATCTCTTGTACTGATTGTGCTGAAGCCAAAGTCTCCCACTTTAACGCAGGTGTTGCTGGTGTAGAAGACATTCTCTGCCTTCAGGTCCCGGTGAATGATGTTGTTCTCGTGCTGCAGAACAAGAGGCAGGTTTAGTGTTAGCTTGTTCACAGCAATGTTCTGCAGTGACCACCAAGATTGTCCATTAGAACAGATTTATTTCAGGCCAAGTCGGAAATAACTAGTGCTGTAAAATTGAAAAGTTAAAAGTGTTTAGAACAAATGCTTGCCAGAGCAGTAGAGAAGGAATTTGCACCAGAATACCTGGAGAAGACAGGAAGAAAAAAGTGTTTTTTTTTTTTTTTTAAAGGATAACAGTCTCTTGTTAACTAATAATCACTATTTCCATAACCACTATTTCTTTTTCATCAAAACTGACAGTGGGAGATGAGCATTGATTAATTTTCTGTTTAGTGGAGCTCTACCCTGTCTTGATTAGCTTCAGTTTTGAAAAGATTAGGAGGAACAGATGGGTTTGAGCACTCTCTACCCAACGCTTTTAGGGGAACAGGAAATACCAAGATATTTTAGAATAAATTGTTAATTAGGGCCTGGCATCTTCCTGTCCCCCTGTGAGTTGGCAGCAGTGAGATAGGATATGAATAGCGCAAATTCAGTGACAGATTAGCAAAAATAAAGGGCTTGGCAGAGAAGAGACTGGCCAGGCAGTAGTTCGGGTTTAATGCTGAGCCAGATGTGATCGCTGAATGTAGAACACACAGCACTAGCTCCTGGCCTCCTCTGCTCCACGAGAGCTGGCGGACGTAACCAGGGCTTGCAGGACAGGGGGCCTGTCTGTCCTGTGCTTAACCTGGCACCTGACCTGGAAATACCTTTAAAAGCAAAATCGCTTTTGACTGCCTGTCTTTCTGTGTGTGAGCCTATGCTGCAGGAAAACACAAGCCAGGGGAGGGCACCCTGAGCCAGCTTGAACAAATACTAGTTTTACTTCTTAACACCACAAAATTCCCTTCCTTTAAGCTGCCCTTGTAAGCAGAGTAGTTGCTCTGCAAGGTGCAGAGGCTGCTGCCTCAAGGGTAGTTAACTGCCGTGTTCTGCTGCTGGAAGATGCTTTGTGCTCTATATAAACAACATAATCCTAAATCCAGCTGTCATACTGAAGCCCGGGGAAGGGACTTGCTTGGTGTTCACCTATCTGCAAAGCAAAGATCAGGCATTCCCGTCTCATTTCCAGCCTCCTACATTTTTTTATTTTGTAAAAACAAAGCAAGCTTTTTGCAATACCTAGCAAACCTCTCTCTGGAACACCTTGGTCGGTGCTGCCTCTTGACTTGCCTGCAGGGATAGAGTGCAGCTTTGCTCAGCGCAGGCAGCAGAACCCGGCGCTGCTCGGGGGCTGTACCATCCACCACCACTTCCCAGTTCACTTGGCCCGAACGCTCTCACCAGGAGGCAGTAACTCAAGAGAGCTAGGAAGGATCTCTCAGGTAACTAAGACAGCTTTTCTGTAATGGGTTTTCTCCTGAGAAGTGTGGGCCTGTTTGTTGGTAACAGCAAAGCTGACTGACAAACAAGGACATGTGCACAGACCTTGGCTAGAGTAGCACAGAGCAACATGTAGGGCACCTCACCATGTGCTTCACAGCAGCCACGATCTGGGAGAAGATCAGTTTGCACTCTGTTTCCAGCAGCTTCCCCTCGGTGCTGATTTTAGTGAAGAGCTCCCCACCTCCCGCGTACTCCATCACCAGGTGCAGCTTGGAGAGCGTCTCCACCACTTCGTAGAGCCTGATGATGTTGGGGTGGTGCAGTTTCTCCATGCTGGATATCTCACGTGAGAGCAAGCGCTGAGTCTTCTTGTCTAGCTTTGTCTTGTCCAAAATCTTAATCGCTACTTTCTCTGAAAAGAAAAATGCTTTTCCATGTTCTTTAATGCAGTAACTGTCCAACCCTAGCTGGTTATATAGCTGCAACGATATTTCACCCCTGACCAAATTATGATAAGCCACAGCAGCCTAGTGCACCCTGCACCCTGCAGGTGGGGTGCAGCCCCACATATCCACCCTGTCCCCCTTCCGTCTCCTACATGCCAGTCCCTGCTGGAATATCTGGGAGCCGCAGTGCAGTGCCAGTGCTCAACACCTCTTGTCCTCAGGCCAACGCGTGTTTCACAGCCCAGGCTGCAGCATGTGCAGTAGCTGTCTGACCCAGGCCGCGCAGCAGGGATCCCGGACCCAGGCCCTGCACTGGTGAAAGCAGGAAGCTGGCACGGGCAGAGGGCTCGGAGCATGAACACTTCCCTCCCTCGCTGTCTCCAGAGATGTTTTTCCCAACATGTTCATACACACGTGGCTCTTGGCGCCATATACAACCTGGGAGAGGCACAGTTCAGCATCTGTATGCCACAGTGGGCCTTGAGTCCATGTCACAGAGAGATTTTTAAACTGGGAAAAGGAATAAAACAGTAAAGCGAACGAAGTTGCAAGGATGCTGTTTACCTTGGCACAAAGCTGGCTGTAGTATACTGTCCTGGGACCATGGGCTGCTAAGTTCTCCTTGTTTCTGTAGCTCACCTGTATGAACCCAAGGGGCACAAAACACTGACATACTTATGCAGTTGCACTGCATTGCCTGAGTAGCTTAAACCATCCTAAATAGTCCAGTTAGAATTGCCCCCATCCTTCCTTATTAAGTGAGAGGTTGCAACTTCTGTTTTCATTCTACTGCATTCAGTTGGTATTTGAAGCATTAGTCTGGTTAAAAAAAAAGTTTACAGCAGCTTTGCACAAGACAGAAAATGAAACTAAAGCAGTCAGGAAAGGTAACTGTTTCTTCCTGGGAAAAGGAGATTTTTTTTTAAAAAAAAACACCTCAAATATTCATAGATTCCCAATTTTAATCTGATCTAGTGGAAAGGAAAAGTTTCCCTTAGTTTCTAGCACCTGTCCATAAAATTGAAAAAAGGTCACTTGTCAGTTTAAGAGAAGAGGGAGAAGACCATTATATTTCTATGTATGATTTGGTATAAAAACATTCCACATGTTTTTTACCTAATATTGTAAATTTATTTACACGTAAGATTTGTGTTTCAACAATTCAGAAGAAATGCCATCGATACCCATGCCCGTATCGCCATACAGGTCGAGACTCTTGTACACTTCGATTTCTTTATGACATAAATGCAGATTTTGATCCTGCTACTAAAAAGCAACAGCTGTTCAAAGCTAACAGGATTCCTGTAAGGAATGATCACCTTGATGTGCCCGTTTTCAGGGGCAGCCTGTGCAAGGTGGGTAACGTTTCTCATCATCTTCACTGCAGATCTGCTTTGCTACTTCTTGCCATATAGATCTTAGGGGCATTTGGGTCAGAACAAACAAACAAATGTAGAAGGAAGGAAAAAAAAAGCACAAAGAAGGATTCCTCATAGTTTTCCTGCATTTTTTTTAAAAGGAAGTAAAGAAACATGATAGAATTAAAGGGCCTTATCTTCTTATCATAAGACCATAAAGCAGGAGCAAGCTCATACAACCTACATCCCTCCAGCTGCACACATGCATAATGTGCAAAGAGAGTCCCACTAAAGTGCAAAGAACACAGTTTTTGTTTTTAAAATAATTCCATCTGCTTCCACATTGCTCTCAGCCTTGCATTGCACCAATGCACAGAGAAGGGCCTTCTGAGTGGGCAGCTTCTACACTGACACACTAAAATGCAGGAACAAGAGACTGTCATTGACCATACCCAGTGAATGCTAAGGTTTGAAAAGAACTAGCTTAAGGCGCAGCAAGTAAGACCTTTTTGATTAGGGAAAAGTTGAGAAGCCGGCTCAGAACAAACAGTGTGTGCTATGACTTCAGGACAAAAAGCAACAAACAGATCCCAGTTAAAACTGCTTAACAGACAGCGTAGCACTCTGAGCACCCGCACATCCCTCCCCTGCACCTCATGCTTCACTTTGCACCTGCCTTTTAGCATCTGAGAACTTCGGGCATCCTTAATTGCCCATATTCAGATATGTTCTCACACTATCCTTGCAAGATGGAGGGTATTTAAAATCAAGATTACACAGAGCTTAGGAACCTAATACTCTGTAGCAAGCAACTCAGCAAAAGACTCTGGAGAAAATCTCTGCCAAAATTCAGATTAGTAAAATGGGTAATCCTAATTAATGTTCTTAATATGTATGACGACACCAAATGGTTTTCTGCCTCCTCTGAAATCATCCAAGATAACTCCTGAGAGTTAAAAAGGAGCAAAGGAGCTCTTTATCCTCACGTTCCTGCAGTTTTCCCCTCTCAAACCTTTTCACACACACTGCTGGACACATGGCGAGGGCTGTGGAACTGCACACACTCACTAATGAAGCTGAGCTTGCTACTAAAAACAAACCTGCTTCCTTCTGAAAACCCAAGTGAAACGTGAGGAGAAAGACTGTATTTAGAGCTCAACACAGGGATAGCAACTGAGCAGCTGAACCCCCTACCTGCCACCTCCTTCTACCACAGGAGCCTGGCCAGCTCCAGTAAAGCAGCCCTTGTATTTTCACCTCAGCCAAAAGAAGGACTTGAGCTCATTGGCCCTGGGCAGGAGCTGAGACCTATTGTCCTTCAGAGGAGTGTGCAAGTGCGGATGTGTTTCTGCTTCCCATCCACGTTCTACGAGGACAGAAGAGCTCGTAGAGGGCAGAGCTGAGGCAAAAGAGGCTCTGCACCCTCATTTCTTCTTCCTCGTGACAATTACAAACTTGGCAGCAAGAAGTTCATGCCTTCTCCTACAAATATCTTAACCAAAAAATAAGCTACCTGTGCAAAGAGGAGGAAAAGTAATTTTAGAGATTTCTGATGAGGGAGAAGAAACTTTTCAAGAAAAACTGATGACCTGCATTTTGGTATTTGGTTTATTCAAATTTCCTGCAGTCACAAATATTTTCTACTAACCCTTTCAAATGCCAAAGCAACCTCTGCCCCACATTCAACAAGTAAGAGGTTCATCCAGATCAAAGTTTATCCTTTTGTTTCCCTTAGCATTCTTCCTGCGCTTGCCCCAGCAGCAGCCCTTCCTCCAACAGCAAACACAAGACAGTTTGCCCGAGAAGGAGAAAATTCACTGGGAAAAGAAAAAAAAAAAGGGGGGGGGGGACAAGGGGAACAGAGCAGTTTTCCAAAAACTAAAACAAAAGTGTTGCTCCCCTCTGATTCCTAGCATAACTGCACTGCAAAATGACTAGGGTAAAGACGAGCTTTCAGATCTCTGCAGTCTGGACTGATTGCGTCAAAGAAAAACAGATCATAAAGTATGAAGGTCTTACCTTTAACATGATTGAGGGAAGGACAATGAATCCAAACTTGAAACAAAAGACTATGAGGAAAAGGAAGCAGAAGAGGACCAAAGCCAAGGAAGCTTTCCCCTGAGGGAAAGCAAGAGCTCCTATGGTCAGTGACAGAAGCAGGATAGATAAAGTTCTTGGCTACAACTGAAGTATTCACTGCCATTACCTGGCCTTTCTAGTTCTTCCTAGAAGCAGCATCTAGGGAGCTTTTCTGTGCTTAAGAAAAGCAGAACAGATGACTACTCAACATAACCTCTGGCTAGGTTTGGCTGCACAGAAGCTCATTTTCCAGCTCAACCCACACCTATGTCCCTTCTCCCAACCCTTCAAATGAAACTGGAATTAGTCAGCAAAACTGCCATAGTTCTCATGAGAATTACTGTTAACAAAAAAAAAAAAAAAAAAAAAAAAAAAAAAGCCCTATCCCCACTAGCAGAATTTGCTCTGAAAGCGTCAGCTTTGCGAACCGAGGCATCCCCAGATGCTGCCCTCGCTGCCTTGCAAGCTCATCACTTAGTCCTGCGGCCTAGGCCAAGGAGAAGGCAGCTGGACAGGACTGTTCCTGGAGCAGGGGCACAAGCTGCTTCCCAAAGTGTGTGGGGCCTTCAGCCACGTGTGTAAACTCCCTGAAATGCAGAGACTTCTTTGTTTCCTCCCAAGGGGAATGACCAGAGAAAATGTTTCTGGCTGCTTTTCAAGCATAAGGGATACTCCCAATGTTACTCCAGATTCACTTAAAAAAATCACATACAGCTTCTATGTGTATATAGGGTGTATACAGAAAGCTTCCCAGAGAAGGTGCTCCACTAACGTATGTGCAGACCAAGTTTGATCAGAACCCATTGGACCCATATAGCAGTGCCTACCTTTGGTTAGGGAATGAATTCCAAGCTTCACTTGCGAGAAGTTCCCACTCCCTATTTCTCCTCTGACTCGATAAAATCCGATCCTCTTCCCTAGGGTTAATTCCTTCACCACCTTTTCATTCTGGGACATATCCTGGGTTAGTTTCTCGAATGGGGTCAGCCTGTGCTGCCTGCCCTCTTCGTCTCCTCCGTAGCTCTCCACGCGCCCATAGTCCTCGCTGCTGTCCTCGCGATTCCACCTGGCATAGCGGTGTTTTCCAAGACCTCCTCCATCCACATACCCTGTTGTCATAGTCCACAGAGTGATCACCTCCCCATAGAACAAGGCCACCCCATAAAGAGTTCAAATTAAATAATAATCCTCAGCATAATAAAAATTGTGGCAAATTTAGCAAAAAAAAAAGCAGCTTACTGCATATCCAAGGATCAGTTTGGACATCACTTCAAAAACAAATCTGGCATATCTACATATTGCAGTTCTGTCCAAAAATCAGGCATAAAATTGGAAGCTATTTATGTCCATCTCCCACGGACATATAGAGCGTGTCAGGATCTTCATCTACAAGGTAAAAGAGGCTTTGCAATTAAAGCTGTAAACTGTTAATGCACAAAAGCAGTGAGTTATTCACATTCTATGCAGTACTTTTGATACAAATGCATAACATTTCACACGTCTATGCTGATGCCCTGAAAAATTAATAAAGGTCGGAGTAATAGCTTACGAACTGCTTTGAGCAAACCCAGATGCTTCAAGGTGATTTTGAATAGCTGACCTTAAGGTTGCAGTAGTTCTTGATTTCGGTGCCAGTCCAAAAGCCAAACATAGGGTTTTCCCCTGATTCATTCTTCATCCTGTGAGCCTGTCACTGTGCCGTGGAAATGGCTGATCGCGCAGCCTGGCTGTGAGAAGTTTGTTGCCTTTCTGTTTCCTTCCCATTGCTGGTTTAACAGAGCAGCTCATCCTGGAAAACGATAGGAAAAGGATAAGGTACGTACCAGCCAAAGGAAATGCTGTGCCTCAGGATCTCTGAAGTCACATGGAAGGACAACAGAGGATTAAGTAACTGCAATGTCACTTTAACCCTCCTTTATTTAGATGAGCTTTCTTTAAAGCCTTGAGCCTTCTCAAAATTTTGCCAGACGCTTTGCCAGCAGAGGGATGAAGAAAGTCATTAAAGCCCTTATGTAACAGCCACGCGATTCACTAAATGAGAGCATGCCACATATTCTTTAGCAATTTAACTCTGCTTGGCAACACATGTAAAGAAATGTGCATTCCAAGTAAGCAAGCAATCATTTACCTGTAGAATGCTCTAATGTTTTGTCTTGTTGATCTGTTGGCAACCTCGTAAGACAGGAGTTTGCTCAGCAATTACCTGCGGAGGGCTGGATACGGGGGACACCCCGCTGGACACCTCCCCACGCAGCGGGCGCAGGGGACGGGATCCGAGCAGCCGCTGCACGCGGTGCTTGGGGGAGCTGGGCAGTGACCTGGGGCAGCGCAATAGCAGAGGGCATGTGAGAGCGTGAGGTGGAGCTGGCCAAGCCAGGGAGGAGAGGCCGCGGCCCGGGAAGGGCAGCGGGAGGGAGGAAGCCGGCACGCCTTTCCCCTAATGGGATTGCACTGGCACTGAGGGGCTTGTCTGCTCTTATCCGGCAGCTCCCCAGAGCGAGGCCAAGGAGACAGGCTGGGAGGTGGAAAGCAGCATCCAGCAGCTTGTCCTGGGAGGCATGCAAGCAGCTTTGGCAAGTTGCCTCTGCCCTTCTAGCACAGGGCCCGCAGGCAGCTCTCGCTGGCCAGGAGGAGCCCACCACAACTCAGCACTTCAGCTTTCACACAGCTGAAGCAACAGTCCTGAGCCAAGAGCCTCTCCTCACTTTGGGAGTAGAGGGCGATTCCTCATCTGCCCTGGCTCCTTCTCTGAGGCAAGGGCTGCCACTTGCTATGTTTATCTGCAACACTGCTTATAGATTAAATAGATTATAACTGGAGTGCGAATATATTTGTTTCTTGAAGTATCTGAATTTTTTATTCCTGTTTGATTATTACAAATCAGGTATTTGTCAAAGAGCTGCAGAATCAGAGCTGCTATTTTCATGGGTGATAGAAAAAATATAAAATAATGAAGTAATTGGATCTTAGATGGATCATGCAATATTATGAAATCACTGCAAACAAGCAACGAACACAGACAAAAATAGTGTGAGGACAAATGTTTGTAGCAAATCACCTTTCAACAACAATCTAAGATATCACAGGGTTCATATTTTATTCTCTGGATCCGAACAGAGTTAAACCGCTGACAAATACTGTATATAATCATAAAACATTGGCTAAATACTTAAATTGTTACTAGAGACTGGAGCACAGCAGCCTTCAGGATTCTCCTGTTAAATGGCCTCTCTTAGGCCAAATGTTCCCTCTAACGACCTTATTTGTCAGCAAGGCAGAGTGCCCCATCAAGCTACAAATGATTATTTAAGTGTATTTTGATGGGCAGTACCTTCCTTATAACCTTACCAAAGAAGAGCCATAGCAGACAGCTACATCCTGACCCAGTGGCCTGCCTGCTCCGGAGCGGCAGGCGGGCACACACCGTTCCCTCCTCCTGCCATTGCAGGGCAAGCACAGAACTGCTCCTAGTGGCAACAAAAAACAAAGTTCAGGATATCGGAGCACATGGAGCGTTGGTCTATTCAGAATCCTAGGTGGAACAATAAACCAAATGTGTGCGTGTAGGTTACTAACACAGGGAGGGGACCTGCAGCTAAAGACGATCTTCTGCAAGAATTATCTGGGCCTTTGCAATTAACTAGCTGTGTGAAAAGGCTGCTAGTGTAAGGAGGATTTCCTTCCAGCAGACCCATGTAATTCACTCCCAAATACCTTTGCTGAGGGCAAGGAGAAGCTGGCTAACTTGCTCTATGTCAAAGTTCAGCCCTGCAGAGGCAGAAATATCACAGGGAAAGGCCAGGGCCTTGCGGGGCCGAGGCGCTCTGAGGCCGGCAGAGCAGCGCTGAGGCCCTAGTGCCGGCTCCTCCACGGCTTCCTCCTGCCTAGTTTTTACGGAGTCCTGCGGCTCCTTTCTAGAGCACGGCCTGCAGTCAGTTGCCCTTACAGGCTTCCCACGTGTTGTCAGCCCCGCGACCTCCTGGCCCTGAGCCCAATGTCCAGACTTGCCCTGTCTTCTGAGACGAGCTATTTCAGTACTCCCGGAGCCAGCAGAATATCTCCCATCTATTTATGGCCTAGGCTCCTTCCTGCAATTTTAACCAGTAAAATGAACCCCAACCCCACACAAGAAGGTGCTTGTTATAAAAGGAAACAATAAGAGAGGGGAGAGAAACCAGGAAAATCAGAAGCCATCCAAATACAATAAAGAAAGAATACTTTATTTTCTGTGTCCAGTCTGGTTGACCAGTGATCTGAAAAGCCTTGGGAGAATATAAAAACTGCCCAAATTTCTTATAACTTTAAATAACAGTAACAAACAAAAACACACTACAAAACTCACCATATGACAGAGCAAGCAGGTATATTAAGCGTAAGACACATCCTAAGCCAGCATTGCTCTTATTTGACCCTGTTATTTAAATATTTCCAGGTACTGATGTCCTGGTCCTATTCTAAGAAGCACTAAATAACCTCAGCCTTTAGCTGAAGGCTGAGCTAAAGCCTGATCATAGACTTGAGGAAAATCAAAAAGCAGAAAGCGAAAGGAGACATCACTGGATATACAAACTTTTTTGCCAGGATTCCCATCTTGGCAGGTAAATAAAAGTCAACTGATTTTAAGAAGCTTTGAATAGGACACTTGGAAATCTAAAATCAGCTAGAACAGGGAGCCCTGAATTTGTGCTTCCCAGCTCAGGTCACTTTTATGTAGCCTCTTTTTAAGTTTATGCATTTGATTTCTCTTCCTCCCTGAACCTGGAGCAGATCCTATTGCAACGAACGTGAAATAACTCACATGGAATAGCCTCTTACCCTACAACTCCTCGAGGTTTTTCATAAGGATGCTTCAGATACTGCAGTTAATTCCGAATCCCCTTTCAGTTCCCTTTGTGGCCTGGATTGAGGATGTCTACATAGAGGATAGCTGGATTTGGGAATATTTCTTTAGGGAGAGAATTAGCTTAGTTTGTTTGGTTGCTCCTCAAGGGCATCTCATTTCTTTCACAGAGCAGTATTATTTGCTGTGAGGCAACAAAGAACTGAACTGAATGCAAAGTAGCAGAGCTTTCCCCTCCCCCCAAGCGATTAGTAAATAAAATATTGATCCTTCTTTTTCTCTACAGCTTTGAAAGCTCATTCACTGCAAGAAAATATGAACGCCGTGGTATATTTGACTACCTTTTATAAAAAGCGAGTGGCCAGCAAAGCCCACAAGGCCGGTGCCTGCGACCAACGCCACCGCAGCAGCTCTCTGGGCAGGCACACGTGGCACGTTGATTGGCACAGGGAGAGGAACAGCTCCTCCCCAGGACTTCCACTCCAGGAGTTAATTTTTCTTTACACTCCCCACTCCCACAGTTGCAAACATTAGCAGAGCTCAGTGGAGAGCCTCCAGAAGTGACTAGTTCTTTGGCCCAGGTGCACCTTCCACCATGTGCCTCCCGGAATCATCGCTGCTTCTCAGGAGCACAAAGTTGCCTCTCTGCTAATTATTGTTTAATCCAAATCAGACAGAGTCAATATAATTTACCTTACAAGTAACAACCTTATAAACCCCTTTAATTTTCCACACATGTAAAGTGAACATGCACAGCAGATGTGCCTAAGGCAATTAAAAACAACACTTTGAAAAACATGAAAGCTCATCCCCTGCAGGTATTGAACAGAGACAAATAAAATGAGGTTTGATTAGGCTGATAAAAGGGGAGAAAGACCCTTTATAGCTGCATGCACATAAGCACTACTTACTTTTCCACTTAAATGAAAGCCTGTTTTTTTAATACAACATGTAAGCCACAACACTCTAAGGCCATGACTATAATATACATGACAGTGAGTTACAGTGCATGCTCCTTTCATTATCTGATGTGTTTTAGACTGCAAAAAAACATGAAGGCACATGTACATATAAGCAATATGTACAGGTGACACTATGCCATTAACTCTTAAGCAGATCTTCCAACAGTTGGATTTGGTGCCTGGAGGGTAGTGACCTCGGTCTCATCTGGGAACTTTGCAGTGCTGACACAGCAACTCGCTTACACAGGGACACAGGGTTACTCCAAAGTCACCTTGGCAAACTGTGCCAGCCCATCAGCTGCAAGAAAATTCAGAGCCATCTCTCATCTCCTGCGCACATCTTGGACATAAACACTGTGGACAGAACACAGTGACAACAGACTTTCGGGACACAAACACCTTTCAATGGCTTCCATGCAAAACCTGCCTTGGAAACCACAGCCTCTCAGGCCTTGTCCTTCCTGCCCCACTGCAGGCCACTCGGCTGTCAAACCTGTGCTTTGACTCCCTGGTCCCAGCACTGTTAGGGCAGTGGACCAGCTCGTTATCTGCTCCAGAGTCCAAAAGCAGGGAATGAAAAGGAGGTTGCACCTAAAATTCCTGAGCTCTGGGGTACAGGGTAGCCCACACTTTTAAAACGCACAGGTCACAAGCGCCTTCTGCACCCCCTGCCACAGGCTGTTCAACAGACATCCCCTCCAGTCCCCTCCAACCACACAACGGGGATCAGGGAGGGTGACAAGTCCGACCTGCAGCTCAGAGCTCGGGCGCTGCTGAATCACCCTGCTCTGAGCACAGAGATTCATTGTGCGCCAAGAACTGCTCCAGAGCCTGCATGTCCTGAAAGACTCGCTTGTGGCTTCAAAGGGTAAATGCATCTTTCTGGTACTGTGCAAATAAAATGAATTTCATGCAGAGTAAGTGAAAATATGTTTCAGAACTGGAAAGAAAATTCTCTCTGATCTATTTGCTGCATCACTTCAATGTAGGAAAATAGACTGCTAAAGAACTAAGCAAAGATAATTAGGACTTTGGATTGCTTCATCTACTTGCACATAGTTGTGCAAAATATTATAAAATAATAATAGTTGACTTTGTAATGTATTTTGCATGATCTCATGAACAGTTCATAGAGCTTCAGTGATTACCCTGCCTTGGAAGTTTTCTGGCATGACCCAAGTAAAAGCAGTCTGAAAAATTCATCTTGCCTTTCAGGGGCTGAAATAACTATATCATCTCACTTGACAGGAAAGAGAAACTGGAGACCCCATGCTGTAACATGGTGGATAATTCACACACAAGAAGAGTCCTTAGCAAACTCAGTGCAACAGGCAGTGAGTAAATACTGAGCAGTGATGCGGGAGGCAGACTTTTGGCACCAGACATAACATCTTGCCCATGCAGGAAGCTCAGGGGCTCTTTCTGATGGTGCAGGAGCAGCTGGAGGGCTCTGCAGAGCTTGGTCTCCTGTGAATCGGGGGGTCTCCTTTTCTGTCAAATCCCAATGTTTGCAGGGCAAGGAGAGTACACCAGGTTGCAGCACCAATTCTGCCCCGCGAGCAGCACAGATGAACCAGACTCCTGCCACCCCAGGTCACCCAGCTCATTCAGAGTGTCAAAGTCAAAGCTTCGCCATTTAGGAAGCAGCATCTTAAGGATATATAGACACATGAAGAAAAGTCAGTCCAGCTACCAAACAAAAACGCCAACTTCATAAAACAGCAGTAATGCACGAGATACAGTTATCCATGTTGCACAACTGCAGTCAAACCAATCATGTCAAGGTGCATGGTCTCGTGGGTTCGCGTAACCAGGTTCGAGTAACTACCTGATGGCATGGAAGGCTCTAAGCAGCCATTGGGACGAGCACTTCAGCAGTGACTCAGCACACAAGGCTTTGCTCAAGCCATCCATATGACATGTGTCAGGCATAGCACACAGGATCTAGACATCTTACTCATTTACTCATTTACACAACCCAGTATATCCTGCTATACGTACAAAGACAGTAGCTCAACAGTGGGTATACAAAATATATCCAGTTTTGCTCCAGCACCCTGTGCACAGAAATGCCTCAATCCCATATGCAATTGAATTTCCCTGTCTACTAATAATTGTCAGTTTTGATTTTTAAATATTATCTCCTCTGCTGCGAGAATTACACAGACACCACCATTTATACTGAGTAGTATCACATGGCTTTCCAATCATACCTGCCACACCTACTATGCTGCTTTTACCTACTTGTTCTTAAAATGAATGATGAAAGACACAGACATGCACACAGGACTTTGATGCCATAGAAATTTTAACAGCACAGGGTACTTGTTCTGCAGGTGCAGAACCTTCCAAAAGACACCAATAAACATGCAAGCTGCTTTTGGCAGAAAGCATTTTGGTTAGATCCAAATTACAGGGGATCTGGCAGGAATTATGTGGATGGATAATGCGAATTATGTCACACAGCTTCTCATTCCGCTTACTGTTCTAAAGAGCTGAATGTTTGGACTCCAGTCACCACTACTCTGGGGAGCAAAAGTGGAACTGATTCCTTAGGAACCCCAGGCTGGACTGGGGTCACTACCTGACAGATACATTTGACCCGCAGCTGCCCAAACCTTGGCACACGCAAGCGCCTCACACAGGGTGTGCCAGCCTGTGAAGGCCGCTGTGGCCACCCTGGTAGGACAATCTCTATCCAACCACTGCAGGCACTATTCTGGTAAAAGAACAGCTGAAGAGAGAATCCTGGTTTCACTTCCTATTGAGAAAAAGGAGAAATCGAGCAAATGAAGGTATGCCCATGGATATGTAGGTGTCCTTTCTTCTCAATTTCTCTGAGCTTTCATTTTGTAAAATAAATCAGTTTAAGAGTGACAGAACCATTTACTGCTATATAATTGCTTCATAACCCATCTACTTCCATATTCCTATGAGCACTCCTGCAGCCAGAGATACATGCACAGGCCCATGCAGCCCCTGCAATCTCTCTCCATCAGAGACACTTCCCCCATTCCCCACATCTCATGCTATCCCTTTGCACCATAGGTGGAACTTGATTAAGTGCCTCCAAGCTCACCAGGCACACTGGCATGTGCATGTTTTGGATCAATCTCTCCTTCCTGGATGGGTCCCACTCAGCACAAATCACATAGATTCTAGATCCATACAAGCTCCCACATCTACTTGGTCCAACTTCCTTCTCTCCAAGAATTGGTGAAAAAATCAGAAGCAGTTAGCTCACAGAGGTGTCAAAATCTGTGATCCATCCCTAAAAGATCTCTTCATGGTCTTTAATAACAGTTGTACGTCCAGGGAGTCCTACCAACTTACTCAGAGAGCCAACTAACAACACCACATAAGCCACCACAAAAGGGCAATATTTGTGTTGGGGTCTGCCCAACGCCTGCAGCTTCATTAAACAGTTCAGGAGTTTAGTCCAGTGCTGCAGCCTCTTCTGGCTGCGGTTTGATGGACACAAGCAACAGGGAAGGGGGGTGGCACAGAGGCCACTGCCCTGACACATAACTCCCAAGTTCCAGGCGCACCAACTCTGCAAACTGGGCATGGCCCAGCCAGTAGAACCTAACACCAGATCCACAGCCCACAAACGGTATGGAGATTACTGAAGAGAAAATAAGCCCACATCCATCAGCACAATAGAAAATATATTACGCTAGTATACTGAGGCCTGTGAAGCAGAAACTAAAATACAAACAAAAAAATTGCCTTTTATCCTTCTGCAGCACTGCTTGATAAAATAGCTGAAGAGAAGGTTAATTATCCTTTGAACTGCTTGGAAACTCACATTAAAGCAGACAAAAGGCAGCACTTATTAGCAGAACCTATTGATTTTCCATCTTTGAAATACATGGCAGGAATTAATTTGAAGTTTTACAGTATTTTGAAATAAAATATATTACCCCCAAACTTTTAAACTGTCCAATATCTTTTATTGTCGGCCCTGGGGTATAATGCAAATCGGACAATTTCTCAGGGACTTATTCTGCCAAGATAAAAGTAGCTCACATTAAACATAGGGAGCAGAGCTTCTAAGGGAGCAGAGATACAATAAAAAAATTACTAGCCTTTTAAATAATAGCACAAAATTTCCATCTAATTCAATTACTTCATTAGAACTGAATTTGACTCAAAAGCTTTCAAAGAAACAAGTTCTCTGGAAAAAAGAATGCTGAAGTAAAAGATGTAGAAAATTATCCAAGTCTCTATTCAAGTCACTGAGGAAATCAATCCAGTTACTTCCATGTTTAAGCAGATATGCGCTTATAAGCAGATGGCCTGCAATAAAATTTTACTGCAACAACTTGAAAAGAAATATAAAATATAAGGGTTTTTTCTCCAGATAAAGGATGCATGGAGTGTTCTATTTTGCATTGTATGTCAATGTTTTCTTTCACCATTTTCCATTTACTGTTTAGAGAGGTCCTAACAACTACGAATAACTCTTTTTTTTTGTGTTGTATAATCAGCTCAGCCCTAGGGAAAACAAAACAAAACAGTAATTTTAAAAGGTTTATTTATCACCCTAAAATATCAAGAAAGACAAACCTGTAACAGATCTCATTAATAATCAGTCCGAAAACAATTCCCATGGATAAATTCGAAATCTAAAAAGAAAACTTTTCCTACAGGTGTGTTAATCAAATCTGCTCGGACAACAACCACAATACCACCACCAACAAAAACTACTTTCGAGTGATCAAATTTAGTTGCATCACTATATGTGCCCTCTCTGCAAGTACCAAGTAATAAAAGACTCGTATAGCACATTGTAAATGAATCTGGGCAGAGGAAAAGCAATTGTTATTGTTTCCCAGGCAGGCAGTTAAAGAAATGGATGAGATGGGTGCTTTGAAACCAGGATCTAGGGCCTAATTGCAGCCTAATTGCAAGGAGCCTCCTGCTGAGGGAACAGTTCCCTCAGTTAAGCAAAGGACACTAAGCCAAGCAAGTTGTAACACAGATCTACAGACCTCCTTTCCATCCTGGCTTTCAGTGCTGCAGCTGAAAAAAACAGATATCCTCCTAAAATAAAGTTTGCTTTTAACCTTGTCTGCGTTTTGCGCCTGAAGAGCTGTATTTTCACTCAAAGCAAGAAAAGCAATTAAAGGGGCATGCCGAAGAGTCCGCACCCTATGGCATATTCAGGGAACTCTGCTCCTGGAGTTGCAAGGAATCTGTGCCTGCCCTCAAACCCCCCTGGCAGGGAAATGCACAAGAGGGGTGCTCAGAAGTTCAGGAAATTCACAGCCCATCGCTGATCCTCTGAAAATCACAGTAACACCAGAAGTTTCTCCATCCCAAATCCCAACATCCATGCTGCTTTGCATACCATATATGAACAGCAAAAGCTTTCCTGACTTGGATGAGGCAACATTAACAGTTAATAAGCTTGGCTATATTTAATTGTTTGGTCTATGGAGACTAGCTAAGTGTCTGGCTTTAGAACACAGATTATAATCATACTGTCATACTGAAGACTTACACAAAGTTACTGTCTTAAGAAAGACTAAAGCAAATCTCATATTCAGGATTATTTAAAAAACAACTATTTCCATTTAATTTCTCTAATTAAATCCAAGGGAAAAGGATCTGTTGTTCCAAAGATTCTTTGCTAAATATATATCATGTGGCATTTGAATGCCCATACAAAATAATGCCAGATTTACCACATGGATGACTATAAAATATCTCAAAAGCTAAGACAGATGATACTCATTAACATTTTAGCAAAATAAGACATTCAAGTTTTGGGACCAGATTTTGACAAGATTTCAAGAATGAAAGTTAGGAATAAATCCAACTCTATGGTATTATGGAAACACAAATTACATCCCTTAGTTTCATAACGTATAGGTTCACTGATAAAGCAAGAAGATATGCAAAATATAAAAGTATTTTTAGAACATCTTAACCCATATTTCTTTCTCTCCTAAAAGCATCCATTTTCTCCCCTGCAAGCACTTACTTGAAACCTATACTTTCAGAATCTTACATCACATGACAGAAAACCCCAGGAATATACAAAAATCAAGAGGTAAGGCACTCCAAATTCCTTACTTTTCCTCAGTTTTCTCCCCAAAGAAATCTGCAGGAAATTTGCAAAAAAGAATCCAGAAGCGAACTTGAGAATGGAGGCACAACCATGTCAGTGCTGCAGAACTCATAAGCTATTCCTGTTTGACTGAGTTCTAAAATAGACATGTATTTTTAAGTAGGTGATAATTTAATGCTGCTAGCATTTAATTCACAGAATTTAATTCATTCTGGATTTACTTAATGCACTAACTCTTTATAGCAACCCTCCCTCAACATGAGGAAAGGCACCTGCTTGAGTGCAGTAGTATTCAATGAAAGGAAAAGTCTCTCTAATTTCATTTTCTTTGTAAAGAGGGAAAACACACGAAAGCTCCTAGTGGAACCACCTAGTAATTAGTATAAAAAGCTGTACAAAAGCACAGTGTTGTAAGATTGTGTGCTATTCTAATGGTGATAACTGCTGAAATACACCAATAAAAAAAATCATTTATCATTAAACTAGAAAATACAAGAAAGCTCTTGTGTGGAATTTTTGTGAAGAAATTTTTGAATTGGCTGCCTAAATAGTATTCATGTGCAATTATATGCTCACAAAAAAACATCCTGAAAGAACATCTGACATTAAAACCAAAGTGATGTACTGCTATTTTATAAATACAATAGTAAAGGCAACACTGATTACAGTGTCACAAGCCATTCAAATGGCTGCACATTTTCAAAAAGCAATTTCTGTAACTTTTCTCAAGCTTTTAGGATTGCATTTATGAAAGAAGGGAAGTGTAAAGAAGAGACACGAAAAGTACAGCCTGTGTAGCTTGTGTAGCTTTCACAAGCCAATCAGATTAACACACAGCCAGCAAGGCAAAGAAAGACAGGACATTCATACTATCCTGAAATTGGAAGGAAGGCAACCCTGGCAATCCATGAAGTCACATTCCCTGTGAGACACAGCAAGGTTAATAGCTTGGTCAATGCTAGACAGGAAAGCAGCCCGGCCATGTTACTCCAAGCCCTTGGCAATAAAAAAAGGAACTAAACAACAATACTAAAAAACGCTGCATGGTAAAAAACTGTGAACTCAGGATTAAAAAGACATGTTCTTCAGAGCCTCCATGCTAACTGACAGCTATCTTTACAATTAATGGATGACTTCTACTTGGCTTCTAGATCAAGGGGTGAACTAGATCAAATACTGTCCAGTCTGAAATGTCTCAGAGAGCAGAAACTACAAAAGACAGAAAAACTTTTAGAGAGCTGCAGTGGAAGCAGTTCTTCACCAAACTACTTGAAGTGGGCATGACACATGTTCAATTTTGCCTGATGAAATACCATATGTACTCACATATGGTGAGTGAAAACTCTCCTCAACTGAGATTGCCTGCTTTGCTGGCACTGAATTTGCCATCACCCAACGATCAACCAATTTTTCTGGCTCTTCAGAGCTCAGTCTTTGTCTTCACCAATAGTACTTACTGTCCAGCAACTCCAAGGCAGAAATATTTTTCAGTCTTTTCTTCATAAAATTCGCACTAAACCCCAGTTAATCAGATCATTTCATCCTGAGACAACATGCAGAGTCTGATAGGACTAAAAGGAAGAAATTATTCTTGTAGCCTTCGAATCATAAGCCTAGTGTGTATGAATGCTTTCTCATCACTGTTCAGTGGCACCAAAATGAATTTCATCTATTTTAGTCTTGCATTTTTTTTAACCCGAGGAACCACTAACTGTTCAAAATGCATAGACATTTACCATAATGATGGAAGCACACACAGAGTTAATTCCAAAGGACTGCTATTGTGCATGTCAGTTCCCATTTCAAAGCCAGATTCAAGTCCAAATTTTCCCTTACAGAAAACTTAAAATTTTGCTAAGATGTGCTGAGAATTGGACCTAGGCACACTTC